TTTTCCCTCGCATTGCATGACAAACATGGCAGGAATATTCTATGAAAATTTCGCTCTTTTCAACAGCCTTGGTCCAGGGCAGGATAAATGATTTTTCCATCTTCTACTGCTGCGGCTTCCTCCTCATCTTTTCCTTACCAGACGTAATTTAATGATGAATTCGCTGCTACACAGAGAGAACGAAAAAATACTCAACAAAAAATTACAAATAAAGTTTTCTATGAGTGGGTATCAAGTGTTCCCTATTAATTAATCATTAATTCCCAAAACAAAAATTGTACAAAACTCCATAGGTTACTAGTAACATAACTAGATCGTAGTTAACTTAAATAGTTTATTTAATACCCAAAAAATATTTTTTTTTGGCAATGTAGACTTTAGCCTAAACGTGGGCGTTCGGTTGCGTGTCTTCAGAAATTATAATCCACACAGAAGGAGCAAAAAAGCGAAGGGCAGAGAGGCAAATGAGAAAGGGGCTCGAAGGGGAGGAGTGGATCTGCCATTCGTGAATGCTTATTTATATACATATTTCCTTATCTGCGATGAAAAGTGAACTATTATTCAGTGGGCCCTGACCAAGAAGCGCTCAACTGAGACGCCGGCGGCGTGTGCCAAGACCTCTTGGTAACCCCACCCCCACGGACCTATTTCGCCCAACCCCTATCCTGGCACCTCTTCCCGAGGACCTCCATCCCTCCGCAGCCCTTATCCTGCGTAGGCGCTGCCAAGCGTGGCCAGACAGACGGCTGGCAGGCGTTAGGACACGCGTCCTTTTTTCCAACTACCGCCTCGGTTGCTGTTTTCGTTGTGCTCCCATTCAGGCCGAGAAAGTTTTCCGGTGGTGGGCTTCCTGTCCCAAGGATATTAAAGCCAGCACAACAGCTGCAGATCCTCACGTGGGCCGGCTAAAGGAACCATCAGCACAAGAATTCGAGAATTCGGCTTTTTTTTGGTAGTGTGAATCTATGGGATACATTTTATTCAAAATTATGCATATCTAATTTCCTATTCTTGATTGTCTTGTGTTAATTTTTTTACTGTACCTTATTTTCTTGTTTTTATTTACAATTATTTTTGTATTTTTTTCAGGAATAATAGCCAACCCCAAAATAATTTGTAGCCCATTTTTGTATGTTGAATTTATATTGCACTTTTGATTAAAAAACGTTTGTTGTTTTGCAATTTTTTTAAAAATATTATGAACTAAATTTAAAATGAGAAAATGAAGTGTTCGGTTTCAATGTTCGTAAAAGTATACAAATGTTTTTCCAGGGCGTATCTAATCCCGGATGTGAGCGCGCTTTAAATACTTTGCGGCTCTTGCCGAATTCAAGAAGCACCTTTTTCCATTCAAAATCTTATCAAGCCCACTTTTGTCACACCAACACACAAAATTTACACGAATTTTGATTCTATTGTGCGAGGATAAGTTTTCTGTTTATCTTTTGGGGCCCGCAGCTTTTACATCGAATCCGATTGTAATATTGTGTGTTCTTGCCGATTTTGGGGATTTAAAAGAGCCTTGCAAAAGCCCTCAACTTTCAAGCCAGCATCTTTTCATTTTGCACACAGAAAATAGCAATAGTACCAATACCAATTTTAAATATAAAATTTATACTCACATATTAAAAGGAATTAAAAAGTTCTTTAATATGTTATTTATGTGGTGTAGGTTTCCCACATATCCCATATTTTATGAATAACTTAAGTTAATGGTCAATTTTGGCTCTCATTTTTTTTAGGTGTTCGGGGGATTTTCGCACATCCTTTCCCATCAATCAAAAGTGCGTGAAATCAAGAATTTATGCCTCATTGGCAGCCGAGGCACGCTCGAGCGCATTGAGCAGATAAAAGCATCAGCCGCAGCAGGTCGACACCGGGAAATCGCATAAAAAGCTCAATAAAGGGCGCTTAATGTATGCACAGTGGTCATTGGGGGCGGAGGGCGCGGCGGGGACCTAGGCAACCGCAAGGCAACAAAAACATACATTTTATTAACCGACAAACACGGGCAAGATGTCCCTGACCAACGCCAGTGCCACGCACCGCACACTTGCTCCACTCTTCGGGGAATCCTGCCGGATGACCACAAGTCAGATGCACGTGTAGGTCCGTCGGTGGGTGGCAGCTGCGGTGGTGGGGTTCGGCCCAGGGGGCGTGGCATAAAAATTGCATGGGCTTGAAGTTGATTTGAATGTGGCCCCCGAGCGGGACCCTCAAGGTGGCCAAACTGAGATAAATATTACCCTACCGCAGGCGATTTGCAATGCATCCACCCATGTCCCTGGCACACCTATTGTGGTTTCTGTAACGGGTGTTAAACTGGCCTCCGAAGGCCACCTTGGGCAAGGTTTTGTTGAAAAATTATATCTTAACCGATGAGTTAATATAAAATACCAACTAAATTGTGCTTACCTTTAAGTCGTTTTGCTTAGAACATTCTTTAAAGATTTCTCTCTAAAGATGGCATTGGTAAATGCATAAATATAATATTTCTATTAGTATTCAATTCAAAAAGTAAGTCTTAAAATTTTAAATTCAATTTTAATTGCTAAGAACTCAAAATATAATACAATAAAAAATTTAAAAATATGTATATATCAAATGCAAATCCATTGTAAAATAAATTATAGTGCAGATATATCTAATCGACTAAAAAATACCCTTCAGTTAATCTATTGTAACTTTTCAAGAGTCTTTTTTTGGTGTCTGTACATTTTAATTACCAGTCGATGGGAAGCACATGATAACAAACAAGTTCATAATTTCAATTGCAGTGAGTGAGGGCTGTGGGTTCTCCAGCACCCAGAGTCCAGGTGTGTGGTGTGGCGAGCAGCTTCGAAAGTAACGGCCCTTTGCCCAACTGCTGTGTGTGGCAGCAATAGTTGCCACCACTTTGAACTGGGCAAACATTTCAACCCTCCGAGGCGAAATCAACGCACGGCAGATGTGCGAGTTCAGCGATCGAGGCACAGGACATGTTCCGTGGCGCAGGACATATGCGGGATATCCCGTTCTCGCTCTCCCTTCTATAGGAATATGTATATTCCTTCCTGGTCCTGTGTAGATCAACCCTGGGTACTAACGAATATGTTTGTTTGATTACAAGCCAACGTGGAAGCAGAACAAACTTCTCCATATCCCGAATTCGGTTGGGTTGAGTGGGTTCGGTCCTGTTGTTGTTGCACTTTCCTTATCCGACGGTACAGTTATTGTTGGTATTATGGTTGCCCTTGTTTACACGATTACATATGCTGCGCATTTCCTTGATGAAAATTTAAAGCATAAATTGCAGCTTTTTGTTTCCGGCAAATATTTGTTGAATGCAACAGCAAATAAAATGGGCACAGTATAACTTTGTGTGTATTTATAATGTTTACCTGTTGGTCAAATGAAATGGCATTGCAAAACAGTTTTAAGAATGGCTAAAAAATTCTATTTGTTGAAGTAGAAATGTTTTTGGTTTTGCACATTTTGTTTTGTGACATTGGCTCACTCTATCGGCTTTGAAACTTCAATTCTCTAAAGTAAGCCACTTAGGAAAGGCAATTAAAATTCGGAACTAAGTTTGTAGACACAATCAAACTTGTGGTCAAGGTTGTTAAAAAAGTATTATATCCTAAAGATGTTATGTAAAATAAAAATTCAAGTGCGAGGAAACGAATATATTTTTGTATTGGCAAAGATAATTTAAAGGAAAAAGTCTTTTTGGTAAAGAGATATTTATACTTGCTCAACAAAACAAAAATAAAAACCGCAAGTACAATTCTGAAAGAGGATTAATATGGAGAGGGTTTCAATTAATTGAAAAGTCATTAAACAAATATTTTGCATACAATTTTCTTGTTTGGTTTATAGGTGCACAAATGAAATGTTTTTCATAACTGCACAAGTATTATAGCTTATTCAAACTAATTACGCTGCTTGTGAAATGTTTTCAGCCTTAAAACAGGCTACTTCGTATGCTAAAAAGTTTGTTTTCTTTGAAGAGGATTTCTTTTTTTTTTTTTTTGTTACTAGAGGTTTGTGGGACTCAAAAAAATCGGATGCCTTAAAAGTGGGAAGTGAAAGAGGCTTAGAAGACGGCAATGGAGATGTTGACCTCTTTCGGTTTATCCTCTAAGCGGAAATTGTTAAGCAACTCACTCGCCATTCACTTACCCACTCATTCATTCACTCACCGACTTACTCCTGCCTTGATTCATTCAGTTATTCGTTGGTCATGCAAATCCCTGGCACACAAATTTACACCTTGGGTGCAGTTGGCAAAGCCCCGGGATAATCCGCATTAGTTGCAGAATGCAGACGGCCACAGAAACACCGAATGAGACCGGGGACCAGGAGGCCAAAACCCACCCGATCCGGCAGGACCATTCGGCTATAGGGCTTAGTTCCCCCTCCCCCGCTAACCGATGCTATTACTATATTTCCACTGGCAGTGTGGAAGGGGAGAAAAAGGCAAATTGAATCATGTTTTGTCGAGCATTTCATTTTGGAATTTGTCAAATGTCGAAGCTGTACTGACTGGCTTCGATCCTAAAAGTCCTAAAAACCCCAAACAGAAACAAAAACCAATAAAATATGTATGTTTCGCCAGTCTCCCAGTGCCCAATGCCCCTTGCATATTGCAATTTTAATTTTTCAATTCATTTTATGTAGAATATCTGTCCGAGTCGATGTTTTTACGCCCAGGCAACTGGAGTCGGAGCCGCAGGGGTGCCACAAATAACAAATTGCTTGTCATTGGCATTGCCAGGATCCCAGGGCCCCCAGCTACGGAGAAGTCGACCCCTTTCCTCTGAAGGCCTCAGACAGGGCTTTTACAATTCGAATCTCGATTAGAATTCATTGAGCTCCCGCTCTTAGTTAGCCATCTAAGCTTCTAGGCACGCACAGTGGTTCAAATAAAGGTTTTTAGTGAACATATTATTGAATTATCTTTGACTAACTAAAAAGCTTTAAAAAAAATCATAAAATAAAACTCAAGTGTTCAAAACTAATTTCCAATAAACAAATTACTTTTAGGTTCGGCTGCTCCACTTATTGAATTTCAGTCGCTTGTACTTTTACGAATAATAATTACTAAAACATTTTTACTGAGCTTCAATTTGGAGTTCCTTGATAAGTCCGAGAACCTTTCGTCTCTGCAGCTTGTCATTGGGGGTTTTCGGTAGACCGTCCACAAAGAAGACACCTCCTCGAATGTGATAGGCTCCGCTTAAATGCCTTTCCACTTTGGTTCGGATTTGTTCTGCCGTCAGTCGCTCTCCTTCCAAACTTTTAGTTCGAACAACGGCGCAGGCAGTGAGATTGGTGGCCACCGCATCCGGGATACCAAAGACACAGGCCTCACTCACTCCGGGCAGTCTCAGGATAAACTCCTCGATCTGCTCGGGATAAATCTGGAAGTTGCTGAACTTGAAGACATCGGTGTCACGGGTCTGGATGTACAGGTGGCCCTCGCTATCGAGGTAGCCAATGTCTCCGGTTCGGAACCACATTCCGTCCGAGCTGAGGGCTCTCTTTGTGGCCTCTGGATTTCGGTAATATCCCTCCCACTTGTATCGCAAACGGGCGTAGACAATTCCAACTTCATTGATGCCCAGCGGCATTTTCAGTTTGTCCAGCACTCGCAACTCCACATTTCGCATGACCTTGCCCTCGCAGCCCAGAGGTCCTCCCACATTCTTGCTCAGACCTCCCATCTCAGAAAGTCCATAGCCCACTACGAACCTCTGGCTTCCAATCAGCTCGTACATTCTCCGGGCCACTGCCTTACACACTTTGGATCCGGCTCCAATTAGAACTCGTACGGATTGGAGCTGAGCCTTCAGCTGAACCAGATCCCTGTCGTGTTTGGAGAGCAGTGCAATCTGGTGGGAGGCCAAGAACAGGAAGGTCACCTTGTGCGTTTCGACCAGTTGGAGGAGGTACTCCACACTGTATGGCCGATTGGTTATGATGCGCTTGCAGCCATTTAGAAGTGAGGCCAAAAGAATAATGGTTCCTGATATCCAGTAAAGCGGACTGAACGATAGCAGCACGCTGTCTCTGGTGTAGGTATTTGGACTGTAATAATGAAATTATAATATGATTACCAATATATATTTATAAAAATTATAAAATACTACTTACTTTTTGCAATTGCAGAGTAAGCTGCGATGGGATCGGGTCACACCCTTGGGCATTCCAGTAGTTCCCGAGGAGCAAACAATAAACGCCGTGTGATCACCGTGTAATTTTGGGCAGGGTACATATCTAAAATTAAGCCTTGTTAATAGAAATTGTTTGCTTTTTATAAAGAACCAAGGAACTTACGCCGCAGCTGTGATGCACTCATCCTCGTTGAGCAGATCACTAATATCCAGCACTCCTTCCAATTTTCCATTGATCAGATAAATCTTGGCGGGATTTTTTAGTTTCTCATTGACCGTCTTAATTATATGATAGTTCTCCACATCACAAAAGATAATCTTTGGCTCGGTAATGTCATACATGTACTTCACAGTTTCTTAATAAAATTCGAAAAAAATTGATTAATACAAAAGGAAATGCAATGAAAGTTGTTTAACCTAATTGACTTACCCTCTGTAAACTCCGGATGCAATGGGTTAATGGGAATTCCCCTCAATAAAGCCGCGATGACGACACTAGTTAGAAAGGTGGAGTTATTCGCCGAGATCCCGATGACATCGCCCCTCCTCAGTCCCAACCTCTTGAAGGTCTGGGCTACTCGGGCACTCTGCTCCGCCAGCTGGCTTCCAGTGAGCTCCTTCCCCGTGGGATCGCAGTGCTGCATCACCTTATCGGCGTTGATCTGCATCACCCGCATGATGACCTCGCCCAGGGTCATCTCCGGACCGTAGAAGTCCTTGCCCCGGGGGCCAAACCAAGTCCGCGAAGCGGCATCGTAGTGAACCTCACAGCTCATGGCGATCGAATAAGTGGTTTATGGCGCCTCATTGGCGTTTTATATGCCACCGGACATAGGAAAACAAAGCGGAGTTGTTAATTAGTCGGCCACGCAAAGACGTGCTTGTCGCCAGTGTCATTTAAAATAGATGCTGATTTACTTATTGGCGTGTCAGTCCCGCTTCTGGATCACGCTAATCGAAACCAGCAACGCACCAGACACGGCAGATGTGGAAACTTTTTTACTTCTTGTACGTCTTTCCAGATGAATCACTTTGTTTACATTCATAAAACACGACTTTTTTCAACAGCTGATATTTATTTTCAACGAAGATAACCTTACAAATGGGTGGTAGCCTCGCTCAATTGAGGCCAGATTTTCCTGCGCTGAATCTTCTTGTTCGTCGTCTTCGGGAGATCGTCCACGAAGAACACGCCACCGCGAATGTGAAAAGCTTCACTTAGGTGTTGCTTCACAATTTCCTTGACATCCGCATCGGTTAGTTGGGCGCCCAGCTCATTGTCTTCCCGGACGACAGCACATGCAGTGAGATTGGTGGACACCTCATCGGGAATTCCGAAGACAGCCACTTCATGAACTCCCGGTAGATGGAGTATGACGTCCTCGATTTGCTTGGGATAAACCGGAAATTGGTTGTACTTGAAGACATCGCTGTCACGAGTCTGATAGTGAAACCATCCATCGTCATCAAAGTATCCCTGATCCCCGGTGAGCAACCACTTTCCATCGGGAGTCACGGTCACTTGGGTTTCCTGCGGATTGTGATAGTAGCCACCCCAGCGAAGATTCAGTCTCACGAGGATCTGACCCGTTTGATTGGGACCCAAGGACTGACCATGCGCGTCCACCAAGCGCACCTGAACATTGCGCAGTAGCTTACCCTCACTACCCAATGGTCCTCCAATATTTTTGGAGATGGCTCCATACTCTGTGAGCCCATAGAGCACGGAAAACCTATCAGCACCAAGTAACTCATACAACTGCCTCCAGATTCCCACAGGAACCTTCGAGCCACTGCACACGAAAGATTTTACGGAGTGTAATCTTTCAGCCAGTTCCTGTTTCTTGGGACTCTTGGCCAACTCAGCCATGTGATGGGGCACTGTGAGCACGAAGGTCACCTGGTTCCTCTCCACAAGGGCCGCGAAGTATTCCACGCTATAAGGTCGATTGGTAATGATCCTGCGACATCCATTTACCAGGGAAGCGAGCAGGGTGAAAATGCAGCTAACCCAGTAGAGTGGACTGTTGCAGAACAGAACTGTTTCCGAGGTGAGCAACTGTGGGCTGTTTACCATTCATTAGGGGTCATATTTCACTGGGACTCGATTCTCACTCACATTTTGGCGCTGTTCAGGAGACTGCGATGCGAACGGGTTACTCCTTTGGGCAAACCGGTTACTCCAGAGGAAGTGATGATGAAGGCCGTATCGTCGCCACTCAAGTGCGGACAGGCAAAGCTGAAGGATCAGGACTAGTTTAAAGGTTTTTTTTTCCAACTTCTGGGTAAGTTCTACCTACAGTGTTTTCTCGTCGTATCCAGTACAACCATCTGCGAGAAGATCCTGAACGTTACGCACTCCAGGCAGAGTTCCTGTGAGCAGGATAATCTCCGTTTTGAACTTGAGGCAGCTTTTGACCGCACTCAAGGTCTGGAAATTGTCCAGGTCACAGAAGATCACCTTGGGCTTGGTGATCTCATACATATATGCAGTGGTTTCTGGGGGGTTAAGAAAGTATACACACTTATAGTTTTCAGTTTATAATTAAAGTTATATAAAGGTGTCTCGTAAAAGCATCTAGAAGAACTACAACTACAACTTAGCATATGAAAATTATATAGTTACAACTTTTCTTTACCAGGATCAAAGTCCGGATGCAGTGGGTTAATGGGTGTACCATTCAGCAGGGCTGCGATGACCACTTCAGTTAGGTAAGTGGTGTTCTTGGCCGAAATTCCCACCACATCTCCTCGTTGCAACTTGAGGCGTTGAAAGGCGTGGGCTAAACGACGACTTTGGTCCAACAACTGTCCACCCGTGAGTGCCTCTCCCGTGGGATCGAACACCTGCATCACCTTATCCGAATAGAGACGCAGGATGATGAGGGCCACTTCACCAAGCGTCATATCAGGGCCGTAGTACTCCTTGTCCTTCGGGCCCGACCATATCTTCTCGAAACTATCGTACTTGGTGGCCGCCATGGCTTATTGGTTCCTGTTAGCCGGTCGATTAGAGAAAACAAACTTCCACACACATCAACTGAGTGGTGGCGAGTGTGATCTGGCCTATATATATGGTGCACCTCAGGCGAACTTGGAGAGGTGTCAGAACTAGATGTGCGATCTGCTAATTGCCACATCACGTACTCCAAACCCACACCAGTGTATCCATATAAACGCCTCTCTGAGCTCCCTTGCCTTCTAATAAACTTTGGCGACAGTTCCCGCTGCCAAATTGTCAGCTGTGTTTGGCTACAACTCCTGAGCCCTAATGCCGACATTGGAATAAAAGGGATGACATGCGGGCTTTGTGGGCCCCCTGTTCTAGCAGCTGTAAATTTGGTTTGTTCTGAAACCTTCAGAGAGGTAAGCTTACGACGATGAAGGGTGAGAAACATCTTGATAATTAACTTGATGTCGTTGCTCTAATAAATGTTAAAATGTAGTTTGAAATGTATTTCCTTTATCTGTTCATACAAAAAGGGCTTTAGAATTTAATCTTTACAAAGTAAACAAACTGTGGAATCAACAAAATTTATAAATATTGAAATCTTTTTAAAATCAACATTTTAAGATACTTATAAAACACCAATGATCATGATGACTATTTTTCGGAACTATAATATTTTATGCTCAGTTCTATTTTATTGTGGTGAAGATGTATTCAACACCACTGTGCCTGGTGCGAACCGGTCTATGCCCACTGTCTGGGAATTGCATAATTTCTCCGATTAAACACGGATTGAGCTCCATTCGCTCACTTTTCCCCCATTCTTTCGGATTGTTGGTGCCGTTTCTCTGCGGTTGTCTTCACGTGCCACGAATCCTGCTGCTTGTTGCGTCAGTCCGCTCCGCCAGGCGGATATATACGCATCCACGGCAATATGTATAAATGGCATGTGCAACCGCAGGGAGATAGAGTCGCATCCTTGATGGGCACACGCTTCATTTGCGTGCTTAGTTAGGAAATCGAGCGTATGGCTGCGGGGATGGATAGTGGGATGGATAGTCGGAATGGGAGGACTGCAGTCGGAACTTAAAATTCAAGGCGCATGCACCTGGCTGGCTGGTGGCTTAAACTTCGATTCGTGGCAGGGCGCAAAAGTTCCTCAACATCATCGGCGGACGGAAGTTCGGGCGGTGGGCGTTACGATAGTGGGCGTGCCGCAGATAGTTTCCCCGGGGCTGAGTGAAAAACTCGGATTTAACTCGACCATGACTGATTCATTGATTTCACTTAAATTCGCTTCATGCAAGAACCAAACTAAATTAATTTAGCGGTCGGCTGAAATGTGCAACAAACTCGCGGACCGAAGAGGTGGCAGAAGTGCCCAAGAAGTCTGATCAGCAGGTAATAAAAGTTTCGAAGAACTTTTTCTGTAGCACTTTGATGACCTGAACTCGACTTGGGAACAAAACAGGGCGTCGGCAAACAACTTGGGCCGCATTTAACTAACTTCAAATCTCGGCAATTAACTGAAAGTCACCGACTGGGGAGCAGAATCCCAGAGTCGCGGACGTCGACATGGCAAATGTAATCAGGCCCAACATTATAATTAACCGCAAAATGCAGTTGAGGGCTTTTCCAACCTCCCTGAACCCCCTTAACCCCCGCAACCCCCTGACCCCCCGGAAACTCCCACACTCCGCTGGTCGTCTATTAAAACTTTTACGACAAGTAGGCGAAAAAAATTACTTAATTAAAATGATTGACTAAACAGAAAAGTTTGTGCGAAATCATTTTTGCTCCCTTTTTTTCGCTCCGTAACTAGCTGGGCATACTTTTCCGGAACAATAGTTTCTTCCGGTTGTGGTGTGCCTTATATATCTCCCTCTCTCTCTCCGCCTTACTCTCTCCCTCTTTCGCACAGTAGTCCTTGCTCTTTTGCGCTTATTTATTGTTTGCCTTTTGCCGGAGGCTGTGAAATTTTTTCTGTAGGAAATGTTTGGAGTGGTGGGGTCTCCGGAAAAACCTTAGATGCGACAGCAGCTTGTTGTTCATCTAACAAATTAACGAACGCCTCGAGTGCTGTTGCGTGCTATCCCCCTCTCTCTCTCTCTCGCTTTGCTGTCTCCCTCTTTCCTTTTCGTCTGAGGCAGAAAACTTTGAAGTGTTAATGAATGGAGCGGCAGCGGGAGCGGGATGGCTAGATGGGGCGAAGGTGGGTGCGAGGGGAAGGGCTTGATGGCCAGAGTAATGACCGTTGGCCGCTTTTGTGGTCAATTTTCTGGTAATTGAAATTATGATTTAATTTAATTTGCCACAAAAGTGTTGACAGTTAGATAAGAATCAAAAGAAAAAGATAAGAAGAAGGACGAGAAGGCCCTTCGCAAATCCTTGGAGCCAGTTTATTAAACTCAGTTTGGGGGAAAAGTTAAAAGGATCCTTTTTGAGCTTTTATTATTTACCAATTAATCGATAATGTGCAGATAAGTGGAAGAGATTAAAGCAAACTAAATTGGTTTACGAACGGTTTGGAAAAAGGAAGAGCACATCAATAATATTTTCGAAAAATACTTAGCTTTAACCTCTAGGCAAACATTAATTAAATCAAAACCCCTTTTAGTATCGATGCATGCAAATTATTCAGGTAATCAGGCGATCAGATTATTCAAGGCCAGGCTCAATAATTCAAACGAGATTATGCAACGTGGCATTTAATAATTCACAAGTGAGAGATGTGTTTTAGGCGTCATTACAAATCGTTACAAGACTAATAATCCGTCCAAATGACTCATTAACAATTAATTAGAGCGCCTTATAGACGTCCTCAAGTGTTTGTGCCTGCAACACACACACACACATACGTGCATAAACAAACACTCACCCATCTGCATAATGAATGTCCTGGAAAATGGTGAACCTACTTTACTGCACTTTCCAAACTGTCTTATTGCATCTGTGTGTGTGTGTGTGTGTGTTGTGTGTGTGGTGGCCACAAAACCAATTACACACTCGATTCGAAAGCGTTTTCGCTTTGGGCCCCAAAATGGATGTAAGGGGCGAGGGCAGAAGAAAGGGGCGTGGCGGGGCCAACACTTAACTCTAAGGAAACTACGCATCTGCTTAATGGTGCCAACTGGAGAAAGGAGGGGCTCTCCTTCAAGTGCATGTGTGTGATTCTGGAAAGGACTCGGTCCCCGATGGCATATAAAAAGCATTTAATTTAAGCGCTCTTCTAATGCCTTTGATGGTAATAGAAGGTATTACAGAGCAGCTGCTATTATTGGGGCTTACTAATGTCTCCTAGTTTGGATATATAATTTGCTAATTAAATGGCTAATCTTGCTATAGTTGATTCAGCAAAAACTCTTTGTTATTTTTGGCTTGATTGCTTCTTATTATACCTATTTATTTATTCATCTACTAAATTTAAAGAAGATATACTGGATGTTCAACTCTTTCTGGTTTGCTCGTGGCATTTTTAAAGTAATTTTATGCACCTACCAAAGAAAATTCAATAAAAAATCAGAAATATATTTGCTCACAGCTTATATGCCATTTTCACCTACATAATATTTAACAAAATGCTGTTATTAAAAGTACGTGCCGCTTCCAATTATATTTTAACGCGGTCTTTTGCTGCTCTACACGTCGCAACCTCGATGCATTTTTAATTTCACTTCCCAAAGTACTCAGGAACTTGTGTTAACTACTGATTTTTCACTCGCTTTAACGCCTCAACCGACCCATTATGCGATTTGCACCTGCTCGCTGCTTCGCCAGGCAACGGGAAATGAGTTGCCAAAAAATTTTAATTAGAAAATTCGCACATATGCACCTAATGTGTCCCCCTAACGATGGCCCCAAATGGAACTGGGGGAGAGGGGAAGGGGCGGGGCCAGGAAATCGCCATTTCCGATTAGGCTCCTGGCCAGAACCAACGGTTGCGATTGTTGCCAGGCAACTGTGCCACCTGCGCCATCGAGAAAAGCCATTCGCAATTGTCGCCGCTTTTTGAGTTGCGTGTGTGTAAGTGCCCCTTTCTAACCACAGTTGCGTGCAAAATACTAGTAAAGCCAAGATTTTTTGATACTGAAATGAAAACTTCAAAGCGGCTGTACCAAATTATATATGCCATCTCAAAAGTCATTTGTTTAGTTTCGTGTTCAGCACATTATCATATTAAGTGAACAACTAATTAAATTATTAGGACTTTGGTTATATGGCTACTATTCACTACATTTTTGTTCTTTTCAAATATGTTGAAAAAAGTATTATTTTTCATTAAAAAAGTTAATTGTTACATGATATTGGTGACATGAACTCGCTGTCAATATTTGACCCCAGCTGTTTGCCACATACACACATCTCGATCCGTAGGTGTTTGCAAGTGTCCGCCGTAGCCAATTAAACTGTTCATTTTGGCGGATTTTCTTTGTTTTGAGCCACTCGTAAGGGCGCCGTGTCAGGCTTGTTTGCCACTGCCAATTGATGGCTCATAATTGCTCATTAACCCGACAAAGGAGACCCGCAAACAATTGCAATTTAATTACCGAGCGTTTGAGTTTAAAAACAAAAACCCAAAACGGAAACTCAATAACATTGCGGAGATTCAAACGGTTCAGAATATCTGGCATACTTTTGCGGGTTTTGATTTTATTTAATTTATGTCTCTTTTGTGCAATTGCATTCAAGCCAGATTTTTATTTGTGGTCCTCTTTGACTCGTTCCGGGCCAATTGAGCTGACAACGAAAACACTTTGCAGGCTATTTAAGCCAACAGACAGACGAAACGAAACAAAACTTTAATTTACTTGCGGTCAACTTTGTTCTCCCCCCTTTCATCGCTCCTTCTTTTTATTCCTCGCTGGGCAGCACATAAAACATAATAAAAGCAAATACAGCAAAAGCAGGAGGGCAGAGATATAAAAAAATTTAATTTTCCGCAAACTAAAACCTTAGAAAATTTATGCTCTGCCTGCATAAACAAAAGCACATAACGAAAAGCAAAAGGCAAACAAAAAACAAAAAAGCAAGCAACAATTCAATTCATTGGCTGCACAAGATGCAGACATGGTCGTGGTCAAAACGCACTGCTGACCGGAGGAC